CAAACCCTTTTTAACCAGAACTCAGGGTGCAACAGACAGAGACTCTGGTTAGGTGGCTTCTTTTTGTTTGTTTGTTTGTTTGTTTTGTTTTTGTTCCTGGGCATATTCCAGGTCATCTCCAGGGAGGGACGTTGGGAGGAAGGCATAGGGAGAAAGGCACAGGGGCACCCCCAAACAAGTGTGGGGGTACCCCAAGGAGATGCCCAGAAACCAGTGTGGGGTGTGGGAGGAGCTAGGCTAAGAGTACAAAACCCATAGATAGGAGCCCCTTTCTAGGGGAGGAGGGGGTAAAGCAAGGGGAGGAGGAGGAGAGAGACAGGGAAAAGAAGTGGTGGGAGGCGAGGAAGGGAGGAGGGTGGAGGATGGAGGAGGAGGGAGAGAAAAGGAGACTGAGGAAGAGAGGGAGAGGAGGAAGAAAAGAGGAGAGAGGGTAGGGAGAGGATGAGGGAGAAGGGAGGACCGCACAGGCATGTTTGCCCCAGGCTCAGCTGTGTGTAGCAGTCAGGACCATGAGCTACACCCATGTTAGTGCAGGATACAGAGTGCACTTGTCTCTACTCTGAGGGCAACTTGGCCAACAACTTCGCCCCCTTAGCAACCTTAGGAGTTAGGTACTGTTATCGCCCTTCAGGGGAGAGGAGGTGGAAGGGGGAATGAGTGACAGCTAAAAGGCAGGACCTGTTAGTGCAGGTCTCTGTTCATCTCCTTGAGACACTGGGGCAGGAAGATCGCAGGTTCAAAGACTAGAGTATGATCAGGCCGTCTCAGAATAAAAGACACTAAAAAGTGTGTGTGTGTGTGTGTGTGTGTGTGTGTGTGTGCTCGCGCGAGCACGCGTGTGCGTAGGCACATGTGTTCACACACATGTGTGTGAGTCAGGTGCAGAGTGCTTGCCTAGCACGAATGAGGGTCTATACCCAGGAGCAAGGGTGCGCACGTGGCCTGGATCATGCTAGCAGTGGAGCTGAAAGGAACAGTTAGGTTGGTCCTGAGCAGGCTGCAGAAGAAATGTCAGTGTGTTAGGGGTGGCCAGTGTGGGGACGGTAGCCTGACCCAGGCCTGGACAGAACACACCTTGCAGAGCAGTGGATACAGGGATGTGAGGCATGAGTGTGAATCCAGTATGCATTCTTGGGGTGCTGTTGGTCTTGGGGAGCAGAGGATGATATAACATGGTATTGGGGGTGGCCTCGGTAGCCCTTGACCTCAGGAGACAGGTCAGCTGAAACCGGCCAGGGTCTCAGGGTAAAAGAGAGAATGAAAAGAGAAGTGTTGTTTAGTGGAGGAGGTCAAGGCCCTGGTTGAAGGGATAGCCTTAAGCTACAGAGATGAAACTTATGGGGCAGGGGCAGGACTGGCTGCCCACTTCCTCTTTTCCAGCCGGCTCTTGCACTGACTGCTACCACTCAGCAGCACAACCCTCCATGCCACCCCGCCCCAGCCCTCCCAACCCCACCCCAGCCCCTCCCACCCCATCCCAGACCCCCCACCCCACCCTGCCCCAGCCCCCCTACCCCACCCAGCACCTCCCACCCCNCTAGAACTCATCAACTAGGCTAAAGGAATTCCTTGTGACTGGCCTGTTTTCCCAATGCTGAGATTACTAACATCCACTATACCAAGTTTTTTGTTTCTTCTATTTTTGTTTTTTAACTTGGGTTCTAGGGATGGAATTCGTATCTTTGTGCTTGCAAGGAGGGCATTTTACTGACTACTTTGGTGTGGCCTGGAACTCACTGAGTTGGGGAGACTGAGTGGCCAGTGAACCCCAGTGATCCATCCATCTCTCCCTCCTCAGTGCTAGGATTTTAAGTGTGCACCAACACACCCAGCTTTTTCATGGGTTTTGGGAATCGAACTCAGGTCCTCATGCTTGCAAGCACTTTACAGACCGAGCCGTCTTTCCAGCCCCACGTGTCTTTACTTCATGAGCCTTTAATCCTTGCAGTCTTACTGGTGGTCAGAGAGTTTAAATAAAGCCTACTTCAAGTCCAGAGAAGGAAAGGCGACACCAGATCTCTCTGTCACCTCTGTCTGGTCCCAGTGTGGCATCTTAGGGCCTGAAGATTAAAGTCCAGTCAGGGCCTGGGACAGGCGGGGCAGAGGAAGGGACTGGATGTGCCTGTTTTCCAGACAGCATGAGGCCTAGGGTCAAAAGGTGTCTGAGCTGGCCTGTGTGTCTTGTGATTCGTTCTCTGCGTCTGTAGCTGCCCCATCCTGTGACCATATTAGCCTCTAGGGATTTCATAATCTTGCCAGGTGCTTTCCTGCGGGGATCGCCAGCTTCACTGGGCAGACGAGAAGAAAACAAGGGCACTGACTGGAGATGTGGCTCAGCTGGCGAAGTGCTTACCCAGCGCGTGTGAAGCCCTGGTTTCAAACCCTAGCCCCGAATAAACAAATGGGGGCTGCTTTGCCTGTCATCCCAGGAAGGAGGAAGGGCTCAACATCATCCTTGGCTATGTAGTGAATCAAGGCCAAGCCTGGATGTATTAAACAACGCTGGCTCAAAATACAGGGAGAAAGAGAAATGAGAGAGAGAGAGAGAGAGAGAGAGAGAGAGAGAGAGAGAGAGAGAGAAAGCAGACATGTTTGAGACAGGTCTCTCACTGAATCTGAAGCTCACTGATTAAGCTAAGACAGATCAAAGAGCTCTAGAAATCCACCCATCTAGCACTGGAGTTGCAAATATGGCTCACTTTTTATGTGGTGCTGGAGATTGGAACTCAGGTCCATGCTTGCAGGGCAAACACTTCAGCGAGTCTCCCATCTCCCCAGCCCTAGCAGACAGCCTCCCAGGAGCCAGGCTCAGCTGTACCTGAGAGGTGCGGCTCACGCTTGCCTTTGGAATCTTATTCCCAGCTGCCATAGGATGCTGCAGCCCCTTTCCTTCATCCCCTCATTCCCAGCAGCAATCTTTCTGTGTTATCTCTTCTTCCTACCTCAAACAGTGACGTAACCTGCTTCTGCGCATCCTATAAATGAGTCAGTTAGCTTACGTCTGGGCAGGAGGCTCAGTCTATAAGGAACTTCCAGCAGAAATTTGATCAGTTCCCCAGTGTTCTTCCTCAAGCACCTACCAAGTGCACAGGTCTAACAGCATGCTGGATACTGCAAATACAGCCGTCTCTTGACATGTGGCCTTGCCCTCCGAGGGGAACGCAATGTCCAGGTGGACGGCATGCCACTCCAAAATACCACCAGAATAGAGCAAAAAGCAAATGGGGAGGACCCGGGGCTGGCTGGGTGGGAAGGACCTCTCCGAAGAGAATGAGAAGAGACAAGGTGTCATTCTTGGGGTGAGAGAGATGCCCAGGAGCTGCCAGACAGGGGCCCAAGTGGCCTGAAAGAATATCCTAGGAATGGAACTATATTAGCCAGCTGCCATGGTGTGTGTGTGTGTGTGTGTGTGTGTGTGTGTGTGTGTGTATGTGTGTACATGTTCTCATTAGGAGACCAGAGGCCAACCTCAACTGTTGTTATTTAGGTACCATCTTCTCTATGTGTGTGTGTCTTTCTGTCTCTCTTCTCTCTTCTCTCTCTCTCTCTCTCTCTCTCTAACAAGTCCCAGGGATCTGCCTTTCTCTACCTGCCCAGCTCTGGGACTACACACACTTACCACCATGCTTATCGTTTTAAATCATGGGTTCTTGGGATCAAACTGTGGCCCTCGCGCTTGTAAAGCAAGCAGTCACTATACCCACAAGGCCATCTTCCTGGCTCCAGTTTGAGCTTCTCACTCTGGGTAGAGATCCTGAGAACAGTACGGGATTAGTTTGCAATTGATGAACTACACTTGGCCAGGCTCTGGCAGTGGAGGGAGAACAGGTAGAAAATGGAAGGGCCCCCAGTGGGGGTGGGTTGAATGGGAAGCTGGGAGGGTCGATTCATGGCTTCCCACAATATCAGAGCAAAAAAAACAGGGCTGGAGTAAGTGGGGTTGCATTCTGGGAGTTTCCCCTGGTGTCCCAGGCCCTTGTCAACTCACTAATTCGTGTGGTGTCTTCCAGACCCAGAGGCTGTTGGGCCCTAAGAGGCCTCACTGGTCCTTCTTTGAGTCCTTCATCCGGACACTCATCATCGTGTGCACGGCGCTGGCTGTGGTCCTCTCTTCAGTGTCTATCTGCGACGGCCACTGGCTCCTGATGGAGGACCGTCTCTTTGGGCTGTGGTACTTCTGCACCATCAGCAACCACAGCGGTCCACACTGCCTGAGAGACCTGAACGAGGCTCACGTGCCCGGGCTGGCAGTGGGCATGGGCCTAGCACGCACTGTGGCTGCCATGGCTGTGGTGGCTGCCATCTTTGGCTTGGAGCTGCTCATTGTGTCCCAGGTGTGCGAGGATGTCCGCTCACGGCGCAAGTGGGCCATCGGTTCTTACCTCCTGCTGGTCGCCTTCGCCCTCTCCTCTGGGGGCCTCCTCACCTTCATCATCCTCCTCAAGAGTCAGATCACCTTCATGGGCTTCACCCTGATGTTTTGGTGTGGGTTCACCGCTTCCTTCCTCTTCTTCCTCAATGCCACCAGCGGCCTTCACATTAACAGCCTCACGCAGCCCTGGGACCAGCTAAGAAAAGTCTAAGACCCCGCCGGAGGCCCTAGCTTCTATAAGAAAGTGTGGTCTTGATGGGACTTCTCTGACGTAGGACCTCTGGCTGGACTTGAGTGGGACAATGACCTTGAAGCTGCCTCTTAGATGATAAGTTCTACAAATGGCCCTGGGCTGTGTGGGGGGGGTGTCTCTTCAACTTCCCCCCAGGCCAGAGGCCAGAGGAGTGCCTCAGTACCACAGGACACAAGCCGTAGAGGTTAGCCAAGCTTTTAAGATGTCAATTCTAAAATAAGAAGAATGTTCTAAAACTTCTTCCTTGGGTGTTTTCTTCCCTGGACTGGAGTAGACTTTGAAAGACACCAGCAGTTAGTTCCAGGCTGGCTGCCCAGCTAAGCAAGGTTCACATCTGTTTCATGGATAGCCCTGGGATGTGGGCTGGAGGGGCCCTGGGACACTTTTTTTCTTGTCTCTGTGTATGTCTATGTGTGTACATGTTTTAACATGTGCACGGGTTCATGTATGTGTGGAGGTACATGTAATGCAAGTGTGTGCATATGGAGATCTGAAGTTGATATCTGGTCTCATCCTTAATTGCTTTTCTGCCTTATTCCTGAAGCAGGGTCTCAGTCAATCCCAGAGCTCACCTGTAAGACCAGTCTCACCAACCAGCTTGATCTGGAGATGCCCCGTCTGCCTCCCAGGCTGGAATTCCAGGTGACACCACACCAGCCAACATGTATATTGATTCTGGGGACCCAAACTCTGGTCTTCCTGCTTGCATGTCATGGGCTTTAATCGCTGAGCCATCCCCAGCCAGGACTTGAGGTTTCTAAGAATGGCCGAGTCCTCCACCTAAGGGACCAGTCAGTGGCTAGGACCATCTCCCATCGGCTCAAGGGAGCTTTGCACACATTTCCCTGGCTTAGCAGGATCCCCCCAGAAAGCCCTTTGACTAGTAGATTTTCAATCTGCTGACTTAAAGCCCCCCATCCTTTGTGTGGACCCACAGGTTCTGGTGCACCCCAGTTTCTGGGGGCTAGCTGTCCTCTCTCTGGGCATAGTTTGAAATCTTCCTTGAGCAAAGTCCCTGCACCAGTTTTCTAATGCAGCCTTCCGCGAGGCCAGTTTCGACTCGGGCAGGACTGTTTGTGAGACTCTCATTTGTAAGGGTCAGGTGACCTCAGCACCCGTTTCTGATCCTGGGACACATTTCAAAGAGCACACGCGTGCACTGCTGAACGCCACAGCGGGTGAGGGGAGAAACAGATGCTGAGTAATAATTAACAGCTTGCAGAGGACAGGTGGAGGTGAACGGGGTCACGAGCCTGTGGAGATTTCCATACTCCTGGAAGAACTGCTCTCTCTCTCTCTCTCTCTCATTCTCCCTGTGTGTGTATGTGTGTGCACATGTGTGCTTGTGTGTTCAGGTGCATGTGTGAGCACCAGTGTACGGAGGCCCGAGGACAACCTTGCCTGTGTTGTTTCTAGATGCCATCCACTTATTTTTTTAATCTTTGTGTGTGGGCGTAGGCATGCGCACACCATGGCACACAGGTGGAGTTCAGAGGTCAGTTCTCCCTTATGATCTTCACCTGCCCTTTGGTTTGCGACCGGGTCTCTTTGCTGGTCTCAGCCTGGGAGCTTCCAGGGATTTCCTGCCTCTCTTTTTTCAGCCTGCAAGTGCTGGGATTACAGATGTGGTCGCTACTGCATTCAGCTTTGTGTGGGTGCTGGGAATCCCAACACGGGTGGTCAGATTTGCATAGCAAGCATTTTTACCCACGGAAACATCATCTTGGCCCCATTTTGTTCAAGATGGTCTCTTTCTGGTCTGGAATTTGCCAGGTAGGCTGGGTTGGCTGGTCAGTGAGCTCCAGAGACCTCTGGCTCTCATCTCACCAAAGCTGGGATTACAAGCACATGCCACCATGCCCAGCTTTTTTTTTTTCTTCCTACATTGGTTCTAAGGATTGAACTCAGGCTCTTGCAAGGCAGTTGATCCACCAGCTGAGCCATCTCTGCAGCCCCCATATCTGTTTGCTCATCCTGTTGCCCCATTTCCAGTTTTTGCCACCCAGAAACAGGTGAAATGTGTTTTTTTTTTTTTTTCCTATCCTGTAAGGTTCTTTTCCCCTCCAGCTCCGAGTGGGCTTTTGGACTTTGCCCTGATCTTGTCATAAGGGTCCCTTCCAGGGCTAGGTGAACACACCTGTGATGCTGCTGGCACCACACCAAGGGCCTCCTATTCACCCATCAAATACTTCTTCACCACTGAGGGCCCATTTTATTTTGAGACAAAATGTTGCCCAAGCTGGTCTCTTCTTTGTGAGCTTAAGTGATCCTTCTGCCCCAACCTCCCCAAGTAGTTCTATTGTGATTTTGTATATGTATGAGTACATGTTCATGTGTGTACACATATATGTGTGAGGGGACACGGGCATGCAAGATCAACATTATGTGTCGTTCTCCAGGAGACCACATACCTTGCTTTTGAGACAGTGTCCTTCCCTGGCCTAGACCTCACCAAGTGTGCTTTCCTGGAAGGCCAGTAAGCCCCAGGGACTTCCTGCCTCTGGCTGCCCAGCACCGGGATTGGAGGCCTGCACAACCGCACCAGGCTTTTACACAGGATCCAGGAACTGAACCCAGATCGTCATCCACTTTACCTCTAAGTCATCCCTCCAGCCCCTCCTATAGTGAGCTTACATATCTTCATCTTACTTACTATTGCACATGCATGTATGGGAATGTACACATCATGGGCACATGTGGGTGTTGGAGAACAGTTTGTGGAGCTGGTCCTTTCATTCCGCCTTGACATAGGTTCCCAGGATCCAGCTGAAGCTGCCATGCTCGCTCACCATGAGCTTTCATGGGCTGAGCCACTTCTCTAGCCATGACTTTTAGGCATCTTTATTCCAGTTGAGATTCCTGAGACTACAAATGCTGCATCGGAACCACCGCCATCCAGGGACCTTGGAGACCCCAGAACTGGTTGTTTTGTTTTGCAGTGCTGAGGCTCACTCACATCCAAGGCCTGGTGCACTTGGGCAGGTGCTCTCTGACTGAGCCACACTGCCATCTCTACCTGAGGAGTTCATGGGGACTGTCTGGTTTTACCAAAACCAGAACTCACTGACCACTCACTCATCCTGGGTCTCAGCCTGGGAAGTGGTCCTGCAGCAGGCTGGAAGATGCAAATCGGAGGCCAGCTCTCCATTTCTGTTTAGGTTTCCCTGCTAGGTTGTGTTTGGAAGGAGATTCAAACACTTCATCCTCTTTCATCCACTTAGGGAGCCAGGGATTGCCAATGTGCCGGCATGGACGGCCAGAGTTATGGAAGCTTACAGTGCAGGGAGATGGGCCTCTGCCTGTTTGAGAGCTGGGAAATCACCACCCGCCTTGAAGCTCAGATCGTTAAAAGACTATGCATTAGCAGTCCATGGAGATGTAGCATAGCTGGTAAAGTGCTTGCCTGCTGTGCAAGAAGCTATGAGTCTGATTCCCAGGACCACATAAAGCAGGCTTGGTGGTGCACGCCTGCAATTCTAGCACTTGGAAATGAAGGCAGGAGGATCAAGTTCAAGGCCATCTTCAGCTAGGGATTAGTAGACCAGCCTGGGCTATAGAAGACACTGTCTCAAAAGAGCAACAAGACTTTCATATCGTGGCCAAGTATCTTGGGCAAGTTGTGGGCCTTCAGGGAGTTGTCTGCCGTTCATAGAGAGGATGGCTTACTTCCTGATGTACCTGTTTTCCACCAAGTCCTCATACATCAGAGATAATGGAAAAGGGGCTTCACAAGCTGAATTTAGCTTCTGTCCTGAATGCTCTATGAGAACTCTAGGGCAGACGAGATCAGCCTAAGGCCCAGGGGCTTGATTCCTCATATTTCCCGAGCTTTTAGGCTTGTCCTTAAAAGTGAGCTGGAACCTGGAGGCAGGGAAGCTCCCTGCTCCTTCAGGGAGAAGCTGGAAAGCGGTGTAGAACATAAGCCTTCCCCGGGTGGCAAAAGATCGACACACAGGGACTAGGGGGTTCTGGATGTCATTTATTCCCTTGCCTCCTCCGGAGCCACTGAATCACTCTCTCAGAAGAATAAGAAAGACCAAATCACAGACCTGTTTCTTGCTCCATGGTGACCCAGTCTCAGTGCTAAGGAAGCTCAGACCTGGAGGAAGGCCTCTCAGCCACTCAAACACAGAAGAGCAGTTGGAAGAGAACCGTCCTATTGAGTGTCCAGCTCTGTGTCCACTGCCCGTCCTGCTGCAGCCTCAGATGATGCTGGCCCTGGGGGTGCTCCGGCTCTGCTCCGAGGTGCTGGCCTTAGTGCCGTGGGTGGTACCGCTGGTGGCATTGCTGAAGGAGTTGCTGAGGGCCACAGGGCGTAGCGGGAACTCTTGGAGGTGCCACTGGCGCCATTTTTTCTGAACTTCTAGCTGCACCTGCCCAAAACCAGCCATCAGCTGCAGCAACTGCTCGAGAAGGTAGCTCAGGCCTCTGCCTAGACCCTGGCTCACTGATGAGCCCAGCTGTCCCTACTCTCATGGCCCTGCTGTGCCCCTTCCCTATTGGTCTCTGACTGACCATTCCTGCCCCATGTATGGAAAAGGTACTGAGGGCCTTCTCTACCCTGGGCACTAGTACATGGCATCTTTAAATTTTAAAATTATTTCTTTACTTATTTAGAGAGCGATAGATGTGAACACACATGCATGCCATGACATTCTTGTGGGGGTCAGGGGACACCTTGAGCTCTCCTTCCACATCTCCTTGAGTTCTGGACAGTACCCCCCATTTTCTAACACTGCGTTCCTCAGAAAAGGTGGGAGAATTGTTCCACAAACTGCAGAGTCAGGTGTCCAAACCTGCACGCTTGCTTCCATACCCCCTTACCCCAGTCTGGAGTCCATCCGCGATCTGAGGGTTTGCTCTTAGACATTCCTCTAGGGTCCTCAAGAGAACACTTGAACCTCTGAAGTCAGCTTTGATGCTTGATTTTGGGGAAACATCTGAGGTCACTCCCATTCAAGTGTGAACCAGACAGATTGGTCAATAGCCACAGAGACACTTGGCCTGTGTGCACTACCAATGTAGCCAGGGTCAGAGGCTGGAGCTTCATATCCTGAACCCTCAGTCTCTGCCCAAGCATGGGGCAGTTCCAAGTGACCCACTTCACTCATGGGAAGACTGAGCTCTGGGTGGCAAGTGACCCAGGACCCTCCCAGAGCCGGCAGCAGAGCTGTCGGGAACTTGGGTTTGAGTGGGGTCTGGGCTCATCTGGGTTTGCTGAACTTGCTCATGGAGTTTGGTAAGGAACACTTCACAGACCCAGTACGGACCCACGGAATCTATTTCTGCTGGTTCTGTCCTGAGGACATTGCCCAAGATGTGATCTATCACCAGACGACTCTGCCAAGCAAGCAGGCCTACCTCAGCCCCCTTCTCATTCTCCTTGGCTGGTCAGCGGGGAGTCCTGTACTGGAATTCAGTGGTTCCCCAGGACACTCACCTCTCCATTGAGGAAGCAGTAGAGGATGGCGACCACCAGCCCCTAAAGAAGGAACTGTGTTAGTCTGTGGTTGGAGACTTTTCCTTCCCACCTGCTCCGGCCTGAATCCTTGAGAGAGCACACACATGCGCAACACACACACACACACACACACACACATACACACACACACACACCACCTCCTCCACCCTCACTCCTTAGGACCTTTCAGCCTTGGAGAATTCCCTGCTTTGGGGCACTGATCTGCCTGCCTGCCTTCAACATAGGCAGAAGTCGTTTTCATTTATTGATCCTGAGACCTAACATGTGACCTCCAACTCCTGTGTCAGGGACGATAAGGGAAGAGCTTCTGACTTGGGCCCTTATTAAAGGATCCTAGGTCTCTGGAATTGGTGAAGAGTGCCATCCAGGATAGCAGAGGTAGGAGGCCCCTGTAGAATCACCCCCATCCCCTTATGAGGGGCAGGGTCACTCCAGTGGGAGATCCTGGGCTCACAAGAAAGGTGATAAATTCATGCTGGAGAACAGACATGTGGTGAGAGCAAAGTATGCGTGAGTGCAGGTCTGTAGCAGGTGTGGGCAGCTCTGGAGTCGAATGCAGGTTTGTAGCAGGTGCAGGCAGCTCTGAGGTCGAGTACAGGTGTGCTAGCAGGTGCTGGCAGCTCTGGAGTTGAGTGCAGGTCTATAGCAGGTGTGGGCAGCTCTGGAGTCTAGTGCATGTTTGTAGCAGGTGCGGGCAGCTCTGGGGTCGAGTGCAGGTGTACTAGCAGGTGCTGGCAGCTCTGAGGTCAGGTGCAGGTGTGCTAGCTGGTGAGGGCAGCTCCGGGGTCGAGTGTAGGTCTGTAGGAGGTGTGGGCAGCTCCGGGGTGGAGTGCAGGTGTGCTAGCAGGTCCTGGCAGCTCTGGGGTCGAGTGCAGGTGCGCTAGCAGGTGCAGGCAGCTCTGGAGTTGAGTGCAGGTCTGTAGCAGGTGCTGGCAGCTCTGGGGTTGAGTGCAGGTCTGTAGGAGGTGCGGGCAGCTCCGGCAGCTCCGGGGTCGAGTGCAGGTGTACTAGCAGGTGTGGAAGCTCTGGGGTTGTCGGGTGCAGGTGTGTATCGGGTGCGGGCAGCTCTGGGGTCCAGGCTGTGTCTCCTGACTTGGAGGGGTGGAGTTTATCTGGACCTTTTCTCAGAGCTCCTGTTTTCCTGATGATATTCCCTGGGTCGTCAGTCTGCAATGCCTGCAGAGCCGTGAGTGATGTGTGTTGGTTGCTACTGACTGTCAACTTAGCAGAGGCTAGGATCATCCTAGAGGAGAACCTCTGAGCATTCCTTTTAGGGGTTTTCTAGATTAACCAAGGTGGGAAGACTCTCCCTAAACACAGGGGGGGGGGTCTACTCCATCCAGTAGAGAGAAAGTCAGCTGAGTACCACAATGCCACCAACTGCCTCAGGTCCTGCCACCAAGGCTTCACCATCATGGGCTGTACCCTAGAACTGTGGGACAAAGCAAAGCAAAGCCTCCCTCCCTCCTTTCCCTACACAGTTCCTGTCAGGGTGTTTGATTACAGCAATGGGAAAGTAGCTATCCACACAGCACTTGCTCCCTCCCTCCCTCCCTCCCTCCCTCCTTCCCTCCCTCCCTCCCTCCCTCCCTCCCTCCGTCCCCCCCTCAGAGCCCGCCTCACCATCCTGCCTTCCTCACAGGCCTGCCCTCCACCTCCCCTCTAGAGGCTTCCATATATAGCTTAAAACATCAGCTGGCCTGGCCTCTTTGCTCTAGCCTTTAGCTGCTTGTCACATTGAAGGACCCCAAAGGGCAATGGACCTGCCAGTGCGTGGTGGGCTTAATATGTACACGTGTTAGGGGATATGGGCTTTGTGAAGTGTGTGTGTGTGTGTGTGCACATGAAGCACACATGTGCAGACTGATGAAGGCCTGAAGTCAACAAGTCAGCACAGGTCTTTACCCCTAATCAGGCCTCCCCAGCTTCCTGAGACAGGATTTCTCACTGATCCCAAGGCTCTGAACAGCTAGGCCACTGGCTAATGAGCTCCTAGGATCCACCTTGTTTTGCTGGTACCCCACCCCAGCTTTTTATGTGGGTGCTGGGGATTCTAACTCAGGTCCTCATCCTTGTGCAGTGAACACTTTGCCCACTGAGCCATCTCCCCAGGCTGGTTTTGAAGGGGGCAGGACTTGAACCCATGGTCCAGGCATGCTAAACTCATGTTCTACCATGGAGATACAAAGCCAGAACAATACTTGTGAGTTCTGTTGTTATAGTAGGTGTATATAGTTTTTCTTAGAGATTTACTTATATTTATGTGCAGTTACGTATATCTGTGGATATATGTGTATACCACCTGTGCTCGGGTACCTGCAGGGGTCAGAAGAGAGCACCAGATTCCCTGGAACTAATTATAGGCAATTGTGAGCACCTAACAAGGATGCTGGGAACCAAATTCATATCCTCTGCAAGAGCAATAAGGACTCTTAACCGCTTAGCCATCTCTCCAGGCCATGGCCCCATCTCTCTCTCTCTGTCTCTCTCTCTCTCTCTCTCTCTCTCTCTCTCTCTGTCTCTCTCTCTCTCTCTCTCTGTCTCTCTATCTTTATCCCTGTCTCTCTCTTTGGTTGGTAGATGCAGGTTCATTCTGTTATTCTCTTCACTTTGGTATGAGGGAGAAACTTTGATACATTTGTATATGAATACACATACATATCTATGGGTACATATACATATTTAATAATTTGTATACATAAGAACATGCACACACGTGGGGGAACAGACTCTCACAAGCCTCTGACTTGCTTGGAACTTGCAATATAGCACAGGCTGGCCTAGAATGTGAAGCTATCTTCCCAACTCAAGGGCTGGGACTGCATGTGTGTACCACCAGGCCCAGCTATTTACATGCTTCTTATGGCCTTCTCATTTATAAGCAAGTCCATGGGACATTAGGAAAGTGTTCTTGGTGGGGTTTTTTTTATCTTCCCAGTTCTGGGGACAGGAAGTCCCTATCTTCATGGAGAAGCAGCCCTGGGGTCCCAAGCTCTTTGAATGCTTATTACCTACTTTGGTGGTCAAGCTAAGTCCTTCCAAATGCCCAAACCTCAGAGTCCCCAATGAGATGAGTCATAGTGAGACCACTATTAAATGTGCAATAGGACCAAGGTACAGGCAGAGGCTCTGCTCAGGGAAGCTTCTCAGAGGAAGCACAGGGACAGCCTGAGGTTGGGTTTGAAATAGCAGAGAGGTCCTGACTCACTGTGTCCCCTGTGAGCTGTCTTCCCTGGAATCCGGAGCAGTGGCAGAAGCTCAGTTTACCAAGAGCAGAATCCAAGGGACAAAGGGGGAGTGGAGGCCTCACTCTGAGGCTAAGACCTCCCTATTGGGGTGGGGGGGCTCTGCTAGAGTCTCTCTGCAAGGAAGACTTAGTGGGGGTGGGATGGGGGCTGGGGGCTGGGTGTCCTCAAGCTCTAGAACAGAATCACAAGGCTTCTTTAGGCAGTGGGTTTGTTTTCAATGGTGTGTGTGTCTGTCTCTCTGTCTGTATATGTGTATGAACACATGCATGCTCAGGTTGTACTAGGGATGGAACCCAGGGTCTCAGGCATGCAGGCAAATGCTCTTCCAGTAAGCCTCAAGCCATATTCACTGGCTTTCATCTAATAGATACTATAAGTCTTGAAACAAACTGTTCTTTCTTTGGCTTCTGGAAAGCTCCAAACTCAGGCTGACCTCAAAATTGCTATGTTGTGAAGGGTGACCTCGACTCCCACCACCTCCTCCCAAGTGCTTGGATTACAAAGTACACTACCACACCGGGTGTATAGTTTTTTCCACTGATAAGTCATCTACATATTTTTTTCTCCATTGGTTGTTGCTAAAAGTGACTTTATGTTATTTTTGGAAAGAATTTATTGGCTCCAAGCAAATAAATAAAGTAACAATGTGAAGCTCGAGATTCCAATTAGGGTTTCTTCTTACCCATTTCTGTTAGTGTTGCCTTAACTTCATAACATCTTGGTGGATTAGAGGTGGTGACCTCCCCCACCTCCTGTCAAAAGAGTCTGGTTAAAAACCCAACATACTGAGGCCGAGAAGATGGCTCAGTGGTTCCATTTAAAACAGTCACTGTGTGGCACACCAGGGAGACAGTGATTGGCAGGTCCCTGGGCTGGCAGGCCAGCTAGAATGGTCTGGTCTACTTGATAAGTTCCAGGCTACAGAGAGATCCTATCTAAAATGCAAAAAGCAAAACAAGGGCAAAAAAAAACAAGGTGGACAGTCCTGAGGAATGTTGTCCCCTGACACACACTTTCACACGCACGCACACCCACACAAGTCCAGCATCCTCCTGCCACCCACTCCCACTTCCTGCTCCTTAGGGGTAACTTGAGTACAGCCTGAACACTCTTAATTTTTTTTTCAATAACATGCTGATGTTGCGAGTTTCCAGTTTCTCAGTTTTAGACATTTCCTCTGGACTTCCCAGTGAGAAACAGAGGGGGCTCCTCTGCCTGCCTGTGGCTTTACACAGTGTGTCATTGTGGTTGCGAATGTGCTACCCGTGTGGTTGTGTAAGTCTTTGTCCATCATGCTCTGTCGATTTTCTCTTTCCTTCTCCCAGGAGTCTACCTCCCCCATTCCCATGCTTTTACTGTTGGAGACTCAAAATCAGTTGGCATCATGAGGTCCTTCCCAGTGGCCTTGGGTCGACACTGTGTGGGACTGCCAGGCTTGCTATCTCTGCAGCCTCATTTCTCTCAAAGGAAACTGAAAGCTGGTGTGTGTGTGTGTGTGTGTGTGTGTGTGTGTGTGTGTGTGTGTACACGTGTGCAGATGAACCTATGTGCACAGATGTGGAGGTCTCAGGTGTCCTTTGACTTTTTGTCATGGGGTCTCTCATGGACCTGGAGCTTCTCCAAGTAGGCTAGGCTGGCTCACTGATGAACTCCAGGGATTGCTTTGTCTCTGCCTCTGTCTCAGCATCGATGGGATTAGAGGCACACACTCCCACACGTTTTCTGTAGGATCTGAGGATTGATCTCAGTTCCCATGCTTACAATGCCCATGCTCCCCTAACTGAGCCGCTGCTCTAGTCCTGAGGAGCCCTCTTTTAAGTCACGATCCCCAAAACTTACCTGGAAGGAACCCAGGGCCAATTCAAAGAAGAGCTGGACTTCCATGGCATCCTCTGGAGAGAAGGCGAAGATGATGTAGTGGATGCCGAAGAGGGGGATCAGCAGGAGGGTGGACTTGGCTAGGCGCCTGGGGACACAGGGTACGCTGCCACTCCTGATCTGCTCAAGCCCTCCTCACACAGAGCTCAACCCTTCAGGGGCCTGATTGTTTTAAGTTATGCTGCAATGTTTCAAGATACTTTTTCAATTTGTTTTTTTTTTTTTTTGTTTTCTGGATCTATCTATTTATCTATCTATCATCTATCTATCTATCTATCATCTATCTATCTATCATCTATGTCCCTATCTCCCTACTCTCTCTCATCTACCTATCTATCAACTATCTATCTATCTATCTATCTATCTATCTATCTATCTATCTATCATCTATCTATCATCTAATCATCTATGTCCCTATCTCCCTACTCTCTCTCATCTACCTATCTATCAACTATCTATCTATCTATGTATCTATCTATGTATCTATCTATCTATCAATCATCTATCTTTCATCTACCTGTCTAACTTTATCTGTCATCTATTTGTGTATCTACCAGTCATTTATTTATTATTTATCAATTATCTTTGTATGTACCTGCTTACCTATCATGTATCAATCAACTATTTATCACCTATCTGTCATCTTTGAAAGTTTGTATCTATATCTATCATCTATCTATATACCTATGTGTCATCTACCTATCTACCCTCTTATCTATAATGTATAATCTGTTTTTTTTGCAGTGTTAGATGTGGAACCCCAGCCCTCACTCATGCTAAGCAAGTATCCCATTATAGAACAACATCTCCAGCACGTTTTCATTTTGCAAAATCTCCAAAGTCCCATGCGCTAAACACCCAGGCACAACACTGGCCAGATGCATGACCAAGCCTCAGTGCTCCTGGTCTCCCCCTCTATCAGTAACATAAATCAATAAGCACTCAACAGATTCACTAGCGGATAAATCAGACGCCTGTGCTAATGCTGCTGTGCTCAGCAAATGAGGAGACAGGAGAGGGCCTTGCCATGCCCTTTCTACCCCACCTCATCTCAACACCTCCTACCCACTCCCTTGCCCTCCCAGCCTTGCAGGGCTCAGATCTATACTTGTAGGGCTCCTGTCTGGTTTCATAGGTTTCCCTCCCCACAGTGTCTGAGGCTTCATATTCAGGTGTATTTCCTCCCACCCACCCCAGTCACACTACAGGTATGCCCCAGGCCTGCCTTTCTGCTTAGCATAGTGGGGTAAACAGCAGGTGCTCAGTAGATGTTCGCCGACTGTCCCAGCATGCCAAGCTTTCTGCCTTACACTTACTTATACTGGTTCATTTCATTTCCTCTTGTTTCTTGGGTTCTAAGTTTTCTCATCAGGATTCTTAGAATGTTTATGAAAAAGATGAAATTGATCTGCAAGGCACAAGGCAGAGGTCAGGCTAAAGTTGTCCTGGCCCTGACCCCTAGAGCTGGGGACAGGAGAGACACCACAGCCAGGAAGACAAATCGTGGCTGTTCACCCTGCAGCCAGAGTCCCAGTGACACCTAAATCCAGAGACAACAGCTGGAAATGACACACACTGCCATCCGGGTTCAATGGCCCACACTTCTACACAATGCCAGCCAGATCACTCACCCTTGGGGCTTGTAATCCCCTGAAAATCTCGATGAATAAAGGTTTGACTGAGCCTTGGAGTCCACTTTTTATTTTATTTTTAGTTTATATCTGTGTTTGCACATGCTTTCACTTGCGAGCACACACACAGTGCACACACGGGCATACACACATGCATGTGTGCACACATGCACGTGCACACACGCACACACACACACACACACACACACATGCCTGCAGAGGTCAAAGGCTAACTTGCATTAGTCGCTTCACTGTTCCACTGCAGGTTCTGGTGATGGAACTCACTCCAGTGGTGAGGTTTGCACAGCCCTGAGCCTCCATACCAACCCCCACTTTCCTCCTTGATAGAGCATGCTACCACACAGCTCAGACAAGCCTCAGACTCTCAATTCTCCTGCCTCTGTCTCCTGAGTGCTGAAACATACTTGGGAAGGATTCGATCTTCGTTTTGTTGGTAGTGGGTTGCTTTTGAGGGGGGTATTTATCTCAAATCTCTGAGCTCTAGGTCCTAAAGATAGGGTAAATGACTCCTGACAGGCCTGACCCACTCCCTCCTCCACTCCTTAGGGGACAGCCTGCCTGCCAACCTCTGGAATCCTGTCGTTTCTACCCTCCTGGTACCCGCTGAGCACTCAGGCTCCAGGATCTCCTACCCTCTGTTTCTCACGAGTCCAGTGTTCCCCTGCTTGTCCCCAGCTCAGGAGAGGATGGCCACTCACCAGGATGGACAGAATCACAGGCCCTCGAATGAGCCACCAGATGGAAGGGTTGGAGTTGATGTCCCAGCATCTAAGGAAGAGAAGCAAGTGTTGGGCATCATTAGGAGTGGAGAGCTGACTGACTGGCAGACATGTTTCCCAGTGCCACCCTCGGAAGGAAGACTGTGTTTATGTCTTTAGCCCTCACACTTGTGCCCACCACCATTAAGATCTGTTCCTCTCAGGGCTGGAGAGATGGCTCAGTGGTTGAGAGCACATACTACTCTTGTAGAGAACCTGACTTCAGTTCCCAGCATCCATGTAGGACGACTCACAACTACTGTAATCCTAGATCCAGGGGATCCAGTGGCATCTTTGGCTTCTGTAGGCATCTGCACTCACATGCACGCATCTGCACACATCTGCACATATCCACATAACTAACAAATTCTTTAATCCTAAAGATACATCTGTCCTCTCTGCTACATCCAGTTAACGCAATGCTGGAATCAAACTCTGAGCTTCATGCGTGCTAGGCAAGCATGCTACCTCTTGAGCCAGTGTGAGGTTAGCTGAATTCCCAGCTGCAGGGCCAGCTGCTGTAGAGACTGACTGTAAAATGTTGTGCTGTGTGCTTGCTCCTCCTCCTACCAGCTTACCCGATGTCTTCCAGAAAGTGCCGGGTGATAGCCCATGAAGCAACAAAAATGGCTGGAGAACCTGAAGGCCAAAACAAAAGGGAGGCACAGTATGATGTTTAATGTTGACAGTAGCCTGGTGAAATTTAGAATGACAGAACAGATAGGACTCTGGGTGTGTCTTCAGGGAACTATCTAGGTAAGGCTAATTGAGGCAGGAAGACCCACCCCAAATGTGGGCAGCACCGTTCCATGGACTGGGGTTCTGGGCTGAATAAAAAGGAGAAAGTGAGCTGAGCACCAGTGTTCATCCCGCTGCTTCCTGACTGTGGATGCCATGTGCGCAGCTGCCTCAGGTTCCTGCTGCCCTGCCTGCGTGGCCATGACAGACTGTCCCCTCAAACTGTGAGACAAACAGTCCCTTCTTAAGCTGCCTCTGTCCGGATATTTTCCCACAGCAGCAAGACAAGCAACTAATCCAGGTAGGGGAGAGAGAACTCAGGCACAGTGAACGGACATTTGTCCTTATCCGGGTACCAGGTGGATGACAAGGTTTGGTCGCCATGGAAACCCTCTTTATCATCTTGCATCAGTGTGCAGCCACATGCTACTATCCTAAGAACTGCAGTGGGTTTTTATGGAACCTGAAAGCCACTTGGGGTTAGGATACTCCCAGGAGCCTGGGCCAGATTCCTGAGGACTTCTGGGAGAGAAGGCACATGGATGCAGTTTGGTGAGGCCCTGGTTTGAAATGGGATATACCCAGCAGAATGGGGAAGACAGAGAATCCAGCTGGTGGAAAACGCATTGACTTTGTTAAAGAATTGACTCATAAACCTTGTCGTTTGGGGCTGGGGAGATGGCTCAATGGGTGAGAATGTTTTCTGTGCAGTCAGGAAAACCTGAATCTGAATTCCCAGAAGCCACATAAAAAGCTGGCACCGCTGTCCTGGAACTAGTTCTTATTGAACAGGCTGGCCTTGAACTCACAGAGATCCATCTACTCTGCTTCCTGAGTGCTGGGATTAAAAAGGCATGTGACACCACTGCCCAGTGCTATACAGTAATTATAAAAAATAAACTGTGAAAGTTTAAAAAAAAAAAGCTGGCACTGGGGCCCCACAACATTAGGTCTGGCTATTTGCTTTGCTTTTTCTTTGAGACAATCTCATTTAGCCCAGGCTAACCCAGAACTCAATATGTAACTGAAGACGGCCTTGAACTCCTGATTTTCAGCCTCTACTTGTTGAGAACTGAGATTACAGGTGTATGCACCACCATGCTGGGTGCTGGAGCCCGAACCTAGGACTTTGTGCATGCTAGGCAAGCACTCTATGCTCTGACTGTTTGAAGAGATGAGGTTTCACTGTGCTGTCTAGTGGCCTCCAACGCCTAGACTCAAGCCATCCTCCTGCTGCAGCCTCACAAGTGGCTAAGGCCCCAGGAGTGCACCGCTGTGCCCAGCTTCTTAGGAGTGCATTGCTGTGCCCAGCTTTCTTCGTTTTTCACTGTGGCTCATTCAATGATTCTCACAGGTTTGCTGAGCTACACAATGGATGGAGAGAGGTCAGGCACCCAGACTACTCTATTTTTAGATCTCTAGTAGGCAAATCTCTACCTCACTCTGCTCCCCTGACTCCAACCAAAGGCGTTAAAGGATGCTTTTCTGAATAAACTGAATGACCCTAGACAAAGGCCGAGAAACAGGGCTGCTGAGATGGCTTGTTTGTTCCCTGGACTCGGGAACTGACTCCTGCAAACTATTCTCTCACCTCTACATGTGTACTGTGACATGCGTATGTATATGCACAACACACGCAAACACACACACACATACACACCTGTACATGATAAACAAATAAATGCAATTTTTAGTCCCCTGGGGGAATGGATAAGAATGGACTAAGTCATTCTTATCTATGAACAGAGAGCCAAGGTCACAGACGTCAGATTACAGCAAAAGCTGGAAACAAAACAACAAGAGAAAAGGAATTGAGGGGAAACAGATCAGACAGGGAGCAGAAGGAACCTGAACAAAAACAACCCCAGGGAGATCACAGGGAGTCAGGAAAGATAACATCTACAAGAGATACAGGATGCTGCCAATTGGGAGCATCCAGAGGACAAGAAAGAGGGCAGAGAAACAAATCTACGATTTCCAAGATAAACATTCAGTAGAAGAGTTGGAAGATAAAGGCAAGAAATATCCGGAAAGCAGAAGAAGCCAACAGAACCACAGGAGGCAGAGCGGGAACTTAGAATAAGGGAGGCTGTACCCGTGACTACAGAGCTTCCTCAGAGAATGAAGCCGGGGCAGAAGGGATGGTCTAAGAGGTAACGCAGGTCCAAGGACGTGGTCTGTCAGATGGCTCAGAGTTGCAGATTGATGGGTGGATGGATGGAGCTGCAACTAGAAACCGAGTCCTCCTGGCTCTCAGTTTAGCATCCTTTCCTGCAAACCACACACGCACAGCACCATGGACAGACATACCCCATCCGAGGAGCACAAAGGCCTGCAGACACTTCCTCTCTGAGAAGAAGGAGATGGCGAGGAGCGTGTGAAGGTAGAGGCCTTCCACCAGCAGCCACGCATAGTTGGCCATGATGCAGTACTGGAAGAAGATCATGACCAGCTTACAACCCACCTGGAAGAGATAGGCGCATGAGCCGGGGCTGGGTGGCCGAGCCTCCCTTGGGTAACTACTTCCAAAGAAAACAGCACCGCCTGGTAGGAGGCAGGTCTAGAGTGAAACTCAAGGGGTACAACTGTCTCCACAGGGCTCTGGAGATGCTCAGTGGGTGAAGGGTTTGCTGCACAGCCATGAGGACCTGAGTTTGATTCCCAGAACCCACATTTTTAAAAGGCAGATAGCACAAGCTTAAAATCCCAGCACTAGGGAGGTGGAAACAGGCAGATCCTGAGGCTCCCTGGCCAGCCAACCTAACAGATTTGGGGAGCTCTAGGTTGGTAACGGACATGGTCTCAAAGAATAAAAGAGGCAGAGGCTGTGGAAGGCTATCTGAGTTTGACCTTGTATCTCTGCGTGTATGTACACACTCATGCACATGCATGTGCACACACAGGAATGAACACACTCAAGGGTTCTCCTGAAGCTGTCCTTGGTCAGGAGACTAGGCCCACAGTGTTCTCTAGAGACTGCAAGCCCCCAGGTCCAGTGAGGATGACCTAGGATCTGCCAGAAATCAGGAAGTAGATTCCAATTGTGAACTGGCATTCCTTCAGAGAAAACCACCCGGTACTGACCAACGCCCTCATTTTCCAAGGAGAACATTATTGCCTAGGGAGAGAGTGGGGTGCTTAGTCAAAATTAACAAAACTACTTTTCCTCTTCTGAGTGTGCGTGTTTGCATGTGTGTGTGCACGCGTGTACTTTCCGGGAGATAAATAAAAAAGCAAAATCTCTCAAAATGAAAATAAAGTGTTTAATCTGCAGCCTTCTTCCTTGCCCAGAATATGGATGTGAAATTTGGAGGTGCAGCACCCATATTGCAACCCTGAGGTGAAAGCCTGAGGTTGAAGGCCCACATCCGGGCAGAACAGACAGAGGGCAAGACTTTGAGTCATTAGGAGTCTTCATCAGTGAGGGGCTTATGATGAGTGGTCAGGGATGCCAGGTGACACACAGAGAGAGTGCAGTGGCTTAAGCGGCATCTAGACAGTGAGAGGAAGAAAATCACTTAGGGAAATGAAGTTTTTCTAGAAGCCTGGGTGTGCAGATGTTCAGGCATGAATGCATTTTCCCCCTCCAGACTTTGCCATTTCGGGAGCTGGCAGGAGTCCAGGGAAGTCTGACCGCAGTTCTAGTTCCCAGGGTGGCTAGTCCACTCCTGAGCACTGGGAATTAATGGGGCCTCCACCAATTCCCCACACACATGACTGACATCATGTCTCCATGGCTGCGGAACCCTATGGAACCTTCCAGAACCTCCTGGAACCTCCACGTCCTGCCAAATACCACCTTTCCTCTGGAGCATCTGTGTGATCTTAATGGATGCTTGCAAGGAGGACGATAAGCTACGGGTTTTGGTCTTCTCCAAGGTCAGTCTAGGACACTTAGGCACATTACCCTACGGGCATCACAGTAGGTGACGTCATCTGAGGGGAAGAGTACCGCATCCTTGATGAAGTTGGACAGGGCTCTTAGGATGAAGGACACGAACAGGTGCATGTGGATGTAGTTGCGGGTGCAGTGCAGCCTCCTGTCAGAGAGAACATGGGGCTGCAAGACCATGGAGAGGGTCTGGTGTTCTCACGGGTCCCACCTGCCCTGCTCCTCCCCTGGCATGAGGAAACCAAAGCCCCACCACAGCCCTCAGGTCCTAGCTCTCTGTTAACAGAACCTGCACGAGGGCATAGGTCTCTAGGTGCCCGTGCACCCTGTGCTGTACTGAAGTCACAAAGGAAAAGATAGCCAGGCATAGTGGTGCGTGCCTGTAAACCTAGCACTTCGGCAGTGGAGACAGAAGGATCATCTCAAGTTCTAAGCTAGTAGGGACTACATGGTGAGACCATGACTCAAAATAGAATAGACCAGAGCAGAACAGATAACATGATCACTGGTTTTGTAACAGCAGCCTGTCTTCGCCCCTGACCAACCACTGCCACCAGTTCCTGGATTTTCTTCTGTGCTCCAGGGGCTGGAGGTTTGTTGCTGGCCCTCCCTGCCCTTATCTCATTTTGAGATACGATCTTATGCACCTTGGTCTGGCTTCCCCTTACCTACGTAGTCCAGGCCGACTATGACTTTCTGATCCTCCCACCTTCAGCTGGGGTGGCCACAGGGATGTGTCACCATGGCCAGCTGATAGAGAGCAGGGGATAGAATCCAGGGCCTTGTGTTTGCTAGGCAGGCCCTCTACCGACTGAACCACACCCCTCGACCCTCAAGAAAGCTTAAATAGGGAGTCTCCAACCTTTCAGCTTCTCTGGACTGTACTGAACAAAGAATTGTCTTGGCGTGCACATTAAATCCAACGACAGCCTTCTGGATTGGAGGACTTACACATGTTTACATACATTCATTTTGCATGACGTTGTATCAACACATTGTCATCTACAAATTTGCTGCTTTTGTGAGTTGTAAAAAATACATTTTAAGTTTCTGATTTTGTGTAGAGTCACATTTATAGCTATCCTGAGCTTCACAAGATGGCCAGGCAGCCCACCAAGACCTCCCTCATTCCATCCCGAGTAGTTAGGAAGACTTGAGGGCTGGGGGACTCACCGGAAAGAGCACAGGATGCTGAGGGCGACCAGGAGCATGGCCAAGGAGGAGCTGTAGCCTACAGTGTACATGACCTTGAGCTTCAGCAGGTACGCATGCTGCAGAGAGAGGCACAGGTCAGCTCTACCTGCCCATCCGGCCGTAGCCAGCCCTTCTGTGTCCCAGGGTACCAGCTTGTGGCAGCATTGGTCCCGACAATCTTGACTGCTATTCTGATGCCTGTTAGCAGGTCCCTTTACCAGCACTATGAATGCAAGACTTTACTGGATTACTTCCAGAGACAAGCTCCTCACTACTTTTGGAGGAAAGCATTTGGCATACAACAATGCAAAATACTGGAATTTTGTTTGTTTGCCCTTTGAGACAGGGTTTCTCTGTGTAGCTTTGGTACCTGTCCTAGGACTAGCTCTTGTAGACCAGGCTGGCCTCAAACTTACAGAGATCCGCCTGCCTCTGCATCCCAAGTGCTGGGATTAAAGGCATGCACCACCACTGCCCATGCTTGGCATAATTTTTTTTTTTTGAGAAAGGGTTTCATGTATCTCAGGCTAGCCTCAAACTTTCTATGAACTCAAACTTTCCTTGAACTCTGGCTCCTCCAGCCTCCACTTCCAAAGTGTTTGGATCACAGGTGGTGTGTGCTGCCATGCCTGGTTTGTATAGTGCTGGGAGCCAAACGCACAACTCTATGCACACAAGGCAAGCATTCTTTCAACTTAACTACACCTCCAGCTCTTTTTTTGTTCTGAGAAAGTGTCTCTCATATTCCAGGCTGGCCTTGAACACGGTATAACTGAAGATGACCTTGAACTCCCGATCCTTCTGCCTATACCTTCTAAGTGCCTGCATTGAAGGTGTGTGATATCCGTCCCCACCAGAATCTTGGTCTTGTTATTGTTTTCAAAGGCAAGGTTTCTCTGTGTATTCCTGGCTGTCCTTGTCCTCAAACAAGGCTGGCCTCTAACTCAGAGATTCCCCCTCTGCCTCCTAGTGCTAGGATTGAAGGTGTGTACCACCAAACCTGGCTCCGAATCCTTTTAAGTAGCCCTGAAGGTAGCTAGCTTTTGTGGTCCACCTATTAGTTCTTTCTTTCTTTCTAGAACCACCTAAAATCAATCAGTCTTCTAGATGAACGTGTTGTCTTTAGGAAATTTGTAAAGTTGTAATTGTACGCAATGCTTTGCCATTTTCAAATAAAGCTCCTCTTCCCACCATCCCTCTACAGCCTGCTCTGCATCCCTTGCCTATTTCTCGCCTCTCTCCACACCCGTCACCATTTCATTCACTTCACTCATTAAAACGGCAAGGTTTGTTGCTGCTCGGTGTCTTAAATGAGACACCCAGGGGCTGGAGCAGTGACTCAACACTCAAGAGAGCTAGCTTCTCTTTAGAACGCCCAAATTTGGTTCCCATATCTCCATCAAGCAGCTCACAACCACCTGTAAGTAATTCCAGTTCCTGGAGAACAGACACACACATCAGACCTCCAAGGGCACCTACACATATGCACATATATGTACAATACACATAAATAAAAATAAAATATCTCTAAATGGCAAAAAGAAGCACTTTACTATACAGCGCTACAAGGAAGACGCAGAGGAGCGCCACCTCGAACTATGCTCTACACTACCAGTGGTGTGACATTTACTCAGTCACCGCCTCCTCACACTGATGCAAAAATATTGCAGTAGAAAGGAATACTGAACCAAAAAGAGGCAAGACCTGCATTTAGGGCCAGGTACAATAGTCAAGGTGGGTCGAAGAAATGAACATTAAAATAGCGGTAATATTAACCAAATTGAGATATTTTTAAATTAATAATTCTCTACAAAGGTTAGAGTACAGTGGGAATGAAAACTGGTTCAGTTTTCAAGAAAAGAATGTGGAGATGCGTACTGAGGGCCTTTGAGATGGGTGCTTCTATCTTGTGACAGGGTCTCTCTTGTGGCTACCAAACTGGCTTCAGACTTGCTCTGTAGTTGATGGTGACCTTGAACTACCAGATTTCTTAACACTGCCTCCCAAGTGGTGTGTGATACCCTGCCAGGCTTTCAAGGTGCCAGAGCTAGAAGCCAGGGCTTCCTGCATGCTAGACAAGCACTCTGCCAAAGGACCCCCTGACCAACTCTCTAGGAGTTAATCCTAAAAACCCGAGTCAGCCTTCCATAGTCACAGGTTCTGTGTCTACATATTCAATGAACCACAATTTTAAAATGTTGGGATGGGGAGCTGTTTCCAGGCCGATGAGGTGGCTTAGTGGAAAAGGGTATTTGTCATCAAGGTTGACCCTCTGAATTCTACCCCTAGGACCCCCATGGTGGAAGGAAAGAACCAGGTTGTAAGTTGTCCTCTGACCTCCACACATGTGCCATGACACATGCCCCCAACATGGGATAAATAAGTGCAAAAATAAAAAACCAAGTTCTTTCTGTCCCGAGCATGTGCAGACACTGATCCTTGTTCTCATTCCCTAGAGACTCCAGTACCACTGTTCTAGGGCGCCCATGGTACATTCCGCACTGAGTCCTCTAGAGGTGGATTTGAGTACACGGAAGGATGTGCATAAGTGCCATGTGGATATTATGCAATTTTATGTAAGAGATTTGAGTATCTTCAGATTTGGGTGTACATAGGTTTCCCAGAACCAGTGCCGTGAGGACACTGAGGCACAAAAATTCTTAGAAAAATATTTGTTTATAAAGACATTTTTAAGATTATATTTATTTTTTTCTGTGTGAACATCATCAAGCCTGGAAGAAGCCCTTTTCTCCACTGTGTTGTCCATAAAGATGTTCATTACAGAACTACTGTGATAGAAGCTTCCAGCGCCCAACAGTAGAATGTTGTATGCTATCTTAACCTACATGTCTTTTTGTTTGGTTTTTCAAGACAGGGTTTCTCTATAGCTTTGGAGCCTGTCCTGGAACTAGCTCTTGTAGACCAGGCTGGCCTCAAACTCACTGACATCCACCTGCCTCTGCCTCCCGAGTGCTGGGGTTAAAGGTGTGTGCCACCACCGCCTGGCTGACCTACGCTATCTCTAATGGTCTTCCAGGGTTAAAGTAATGCTTCCAGTGAGATTTTAAAGAAGTCAGGACCTGTTCCTGGTGCACACAAAAACGGGAGACAGACTTAGAGCACTGTGTGATTTCAGCTATATGGACAGAAGGGTTGAATTATGATAGGTGGAAAATTTTGTGATCAGTGTGATTGGGTAGCTGGGGCTGGAGCTCGGTTTGCAGACTCCTTGCCTGGTATGGGAGAAGCCCTGGCTTCCATCCCCCGCACTTCAGAAAGTGGGTTTGGGGGTGAACAAGCAGGTAGAGGTTGAGGGGTCAAAAGTTCAGGTTCTTCCTGGCCACACAGAGATTAAAGCCATGTTTGACTACATGAAACCCTGACGGAAAAGGAATAAAGCAAGCCACTGGAATTCTCTATCTGGGCAAAACATTTTTGCTTTTAAATTGAATACCACATTCTGGGGGTCTTGCCTGGGACCTGCACTTGTATATCCTGTGATTAGATCTTATAATCACTTTTTCAAAATCTATGGAGCTGTGTAACATAGTGGGTTCGAGGCTAGCCTATGGTACACAAGACCTTGTCTTGGGGGAAATGGTATCAGCCAATCTGTGTGGTTCAATTTCTTATCTTCATTAAAAACAAGCTTGCGGTGAGCTGGTAGGGTTGCTCGTCGAGGGAAGACACTTTCAGACAGACGGTGGTGCAAGTTCAGTGCTTGGTTCCACGTAATGGAAGGAGAGAACAGATCGCTGCAGTGCCCACTGCTCCTCTGAGCTGGGGTACAGGAGCCAATCCCTCCCCCACAACACAAACAAAAAATGTGATCAAAATTTCTTTTAAAAAATGGTAAGGAGAGATGCGTCACATGGTAAGGCGACATGTCACATGCCAGCAAGACCTTGGTCTCCTGGTTCTGAGCAGAGTTGTAAGTTCCTTTCGTCCTCTTCTGTGCTGGCATTTTCTACAGTTGATGAGTGCTGATTAGTAAGCGAATAAAAGGGGAATTGCAGCTTTAAGGCACCAGATCTGTGCAGGGAGCCTTCCTGACTTAGCACAGCTAGGACTTGGGATGGGAACGGCCCACGTTCTGCAGCATCACACGGTAGACAGGAGGGAAACAAGCCAAGCTTCCAAACCCAAGAAGGCCAGCCCCTGAGCAAATGACTCAACTTCTTTGAGCTTCAGATTCTTCATCTTCAAAGCGGGAATCATATGTTCTCCCCTGCAGGCTGGCTGAAAACAGGAAGAAGCTACGAGATGGTCTGTGTCTACAATGCTTGGCATTCAGAAGCCCCTCGGCATGGGGTACTTCCCCCAGCACCATCCACCCTTCAGCGTGACTCAGCAGAGTCAAATGGTAGGAACTCTGAGGTGTGAGTTAGCCTCCAAAAATAAAAATGGGCTTATTTTCTCTTTCACTAATAGAATGCCATGTCGTTGGGAAGTCATGAGTGCAAGCGTGTTATTTTAGGAGGCACCTTAACGAATCTGGGTGCTTTGGGAGGACAGCGATCGGTTGCCTCACCCGGGGTGCACGGAAAAGCCAAGCGTGTGGGGTGGTAGCGTGCTGACAGTTTAGGAGGAAAGTATCAGCATGATTGACAAGATAAAATGTAAGACTCCCTGCGTGAGCCCTAGTGCAGGAAGCTTGCGTGCGTGTAGATTTCCACTCAGAATAAACAGGGACATTTTGGCATCAGATGACACTCTATATGAGGCCAACTGTGTGGGGTGGAGCCTCCCTTCTTCAGCAACTGTCCCTGAAGTCAAAGGCCACCTCTCGGGGTGATGAGAACTATGAAGGATGATGATCTGCCTTAGATTAATGACCCCTAAAGTCTGGGACACCAAAGAACCCTGTAGGGCTGGGAGGCGGCTGAGTTCCAGCCATATAACCTGGGCATGGTGCACACGCCTGTCATTCAACACAACGGAAGCAGGAGGATCAGATGTTCACAGTCACCTCAGCTACATAAGGAGTTTGAGGCCAGCCTGGGTGGGGAATGGTTGTGACTGGCAACAGTTTGGGGGGCTGGAGAGGGGATGACTGGTTCAGTAGGGGTGGAGTATCTCCTTCCTAAGATGACAGAGAGCTGATAGGATGTCTGTCTAGCAGGTTAAAAGCTCGGAGTTTGAGTCTTAGCACCACATACGTCAGGCACGGGGTAGCGAGCCTGTAATTCCAGTACTGTGGAGAAGAGGGAGGAGGAAAAGGAGTTCTGGGCATTATGGGCTATTTAGGGAGATTGAGGCCAGCCCGGACTGTCTGAGACTGCTTTTTAAAAAATTAAGGAAAGAAAGAGATCTGTGGAATATGACAAGTTCTTGGGTCAGCCTGGTGGTGTGCAATCCCAGCTCCCGAGGTTCATGCTCTTAACCACTACACCATGCTCTTTCCTTCAATTTGAAACTTGGCGCAGGGAGGCCCACACCACTGAGGGTGGCAGTCTGGTCTTGTGTTGCCCACACCAGTTCATGGGAGCCCAAGAAGGCACACGCTAACTGTGTGAAGTGTCCTGGCAGAATAATTTGTCCTATTCAGTACTAAGTGACCCTGAGCCCCGATTTCATACGTGTGAGGTCTGACCCCAGCATGACCCTGATTCCCAGGAGTTCTCATGTGACCCTTGTTCCCTCAGCTTCTAACATCTGCAGCTGTGCCTTGGCCCTAGAGGGCTCAGAGTCCAGGAACACCCCTGCTCTCCGTCCTGGGGCCTGGCAATGCCACCTGTTTGCTGTGCCCTCTACTCAGCTGACAGCAAGTGTTTCCTATGAAGAGACAGTAAATAGTTTAGGGTCAAGGTGTCACACGGTCTCCCCCAACTACTCAGCCCTGTCCCTGTCACACAGAAGCAGCCTTGCGATACTAATGGACTTGGCTCTGTACCAACAAAACTTCATTTGCGAAAGCTGCTCATGGCCCAAGGCCACAGTCTGGCAATCTTTGTTGTGAGTAGGTGCCCTAGACAATGTAGACACTTAAGGGGCATCTGTTACCTAGTCTTTCTATCAGTCTAAGCCCACTACTGACATTTGTCAATACTCTAGTGACACATGCCTGGAAAGGGGACGGGAAAAGAAAGAACGGAAAAAATGAAGGAAGGAAGGAGGGAGGGAGGGAGG